GATTATCATTGTAAAATTTACAAACGTATAAAAATGACAACAACACGTTCGTTCGTTCGGGGATAATAACACAGTGTATAGCCGGCAAGTTCAATGAAAAAAAACAAAGTAACCACTGTTGACAGAACCGCGGCCGTTCACCCTATCCCGGCGTCACGTCCGCGTTGAAAATTCGCGCAACTTTTCAACCTTGGCTCCTCACTTCCGCCAACAGCTGCATACGACACGCGAGTGCACAGCCCGGCGATACAAATACACATATATGTATATCTGGCACGACTCCTCCGGCCTCTTTAGCGAGAGCTGACTCTGCCCTTTTTCACCGTGGCTCCTCCGCACACGTGCACCCGACTATAGATAATACTCGCGGATAATTCCCATTAGACGGAAACTCATCACTATTTTTTTTTTTTTTTTTTTTTTTGGCATCACCCCCACAAATTAACCCTTTACAGCTGTCGGTGTCGAGATAAACAAAAGACATGCAACGAGCCCCCCAAAAAATGCAAAAAACCTTACGTCTCATCCTGTCCAGCTCCGCGTGCGGGATGAAAACACTCGATCGCCGATCCGCGCGAGCATCCGTGAACCGATGAAGGGAACCATCAGTCGGATCGGCGCACTCTTTCACTGCATCTCGATGAAGATTAGTCCGCGATATACCGCTACACACACGTACCGAATCAAAAGCACGAGGACTTTGTGGTCCAATTGGTGAGCGCGCGGAGATCGCGTCCCGAGCACAGAGCCGTGGCCGATGCTCGGTCTCGTTACACGAGCGACGGAGTTGCTGCTGCCGCTCCAGTGGCTTCGCGCCTCCCCCCCCCCTCCCATTTTTTTCTTCTTCCCCCGCGCACTGTATACGTATACGTACATTAGTGAGCTACACCGAATACACGTATATCCACACGAAACTCTCGGGTGCTGCTTAGACGACACGGCGAGGACGGAGGCTCGGTTGGATCCCATATTATGGGAGATATACCTCTCACGAGGACTTGCTCGACAAATGTTTGATTTCCCTTTGGTAACAAAGGGTACCAGGACGAAATTGAGAATCAGAAAACCTTCTGCGCACCCGAGACATGTACATAGGCGTCAAAATGCCACCAAGCGAGAAAGGGGATGGGGAGGGGGATGAACCGGTCGCAGTAAATCAGATGTAGTATAATATATAGGCCGGCATACTTGCAAAGGCATTCACCGTTACGGAGGCTTGACGGCCGTTTAGGAAGCTCCTCGAGTTCTTGTGTTTCCATGTATTATATATATGTGTGTGTCATATACACACGTGTGTCCAACGCCCTGAATATGTGTGTCAAAGAGCATCTCGCAGCTGGACGACTTCCGCGTCTCTGCTATCCAACCGGGGGGGAGGTGTGCGGGCGATGTCATCGGTGACGACGCGCAAGGAAACGACCATTTCGGAAAAATTCTCGATCATCGCTACGCGTACATATAATTATTTTACATGCACATAATACACTGGGCTTGAAAAAAGTTCACAGCGAGCCAGAGAGACGCCAAAACAATCGGTCCCATTGACGATTATTTATATATGTATATATGCAAGGGGCAAGCATACGAGTATATCGGGTTTCGAGCGGGCGATACTCAAAATATATATGATATCGTGGCGCGGCGCGTAGAATAATGAAACATGATTTACGTGCCACGCACTTCTCGGGGGCCTCTGCTCTTTAAAACTCCCACGAATCCTGTATAATATATATATATACGTACGCGGGCGCGTCTCGCGAGTACATCGGTGATGTACGTAATTTATTAATCGCCGTATACGCTGACAGGCCGATCTATGCGCTCGAGTGTCAACTCGTACAAGGTATACACCGGGTGGGCGCCGTCCGCGAGAGTCTGTTTAGGCTGGAGGCTTGGGAAGAGGTGGGGGGGGGAGAGAAAAAACGCTCCAGCCGAGAGCCAATAAAAATCGAAACTCGAGCTGGCCCGAAAACTTATGCGATTGTTTGTTTATGTACCCTCTCGCGTCAATGTAACCCATTCACGGGGCTGATGTTTGAGGAGCTGATGTCGCGAGGAAAAGTATACACCCAAGGCTCGATTAAAAATAGAGCCGATCGAGTATATTATGGTTTTCCTCGATTCGGGGAAACTCCTCGTAGCACCATATGTATATACATACACGATATGTTTTTGAGCGAAGTTTCGCGATCGGGGGGCCGATGTGTATTTATACGCACAAACCCCAGGATGTTGTATATACATATATGTGCGGAGGACTATCGGTGGGGTCCATTTCGATCCGCGTGGAGCAATCGGTAGATCCCTCGAACTATCGAGAGTTTTGGGGCCCACGCAGTTGACGGGAAAAAAAAAAAAAAAAAAAAAAAAAAAAAAAAAAAAAACAACGCGTAGGTGATTGCGTACCTTTATATTTATATGCATGTAGGACTGGAAAAGATCGAAAGCAGGGAGGGCTATGAGCTCAGCTGTTTCATCCTTTCGTACGATGTACGCATGTCTGTCACTTCCTCCCTTGGCTCGGATATGATATACACATACACGCGGGGGGGGGGAGGGGGAGGAGAAAAAGTACGAGTGATTTTTCGGGGTCTTGTATTTACGAAAGCTCGGCATGCGGAGGAGTAGGGAAGGAAAGGCAAAAAAAAATGGGAGGAGAGGATCACGTTTGCCGACAAATGACTTTAGGATGCGACACGCCTACTTGCGGCTGTCCTCTGATTTCACGCTCCTTCGCGCGGCTTATACGTCCCCTCTTTAGTTTAACTAAGTACCTACACCCTACACCCTCCCCCCCCTCCCCTCGTATTATTCTAAATACGTGTACAGGGATGCGTCGGTCTTTCCAAAGTTTTACGTCCAGCGGGATGATTTTCATCCGACGGTGATGTCTCCTTTTTATTTTTCAAGAGCTGTTTGCTCGAGACTTGCCTCGGAGTCTTCGGGCGTTCAACGGGCTGGGGATTTCTACGAGTCTCAAAATTCAAGCTTTGCAACGCGATCGGATTTTACTTGTTCGCTCGGAAAAATGATAATCATTCGTATTTGAATAAAAAAAGGCCTAAAAGTATAAACAATGGAAAAGTGATTGGCAATGTATACGTTTTGCAAGTGCATGTCCAACCACCAGTCTATTGCTATTTATTTTTTATCGGGGCAAATTTTTGTTTAATTAAATTCTATCGCATCTTCACACGTGCACAAAAAGTTTATAATTTAATCTCTCAGTCCTTCCCTTTTGAAAAAAGTCTATAAATACATACCTGCATCGCCTAGCGTTTAAGATTTATTTAAAAAAAAAAGGGGGGGGAAGGGGTGGGCATCATTGTAGAACACAAACACCCAAAAATAGTAAGTTGCAGGGGAAAAGGTACCAACAAGTATATATTTATATCCGGAGAGAAAAAGAGCAATCAAGACGACGGTAAACAAACATACCGGGGACCAACAACCCTTTCGATCGATAAATAATCCCTCCACGCAGGACGCGTGCGCGTCGCGCGCGCGTGTTCTTAAAAAAATATCCCAATGGGGTATATGGTATGCCTGGCGTGTCTCTGCGTCCGGATGATCGATTTTTGTGTTTGGAACGTGCGTACATGGCACAATGTATATATATACCTACGCCATGAGTGCCGGTGACAAATGGCTTTCAAAACATTTTCGTTCTTTCCCTCCTCAACCCTCTGCTTTTTTCTTCCTGTTCTATAGTTGTACCTATACCACCCTACAGTGACACTGTCGACGCTCGACGGGTACATGGACCTATACTTACCAAGAGCTGATTTTTTACAATTAAGAAAGAAAAAAAAGCAAATTCACAGCCAACAGGGGTGGGCGGAATAGTAATGTGCAAAAACGAGGATTCATATGAAAATTTTAGTTTTTTGAAACGAGAGAGAGAGAGAGAGAGAGAAAAGGGGGGGGGGGGGGNTATCATAGACATTTTAAATACCTGATTGAACAAGTAAAAAATGTCTTACAGAACGCGATGGAAGCCATGGGTCTGGTGGCAATTCTGGTGAATTGTGCGCTGATCGGTCTCAGCGGCCAGGTGCAACGCATGTTCCCGGAAATGTCGGCAACGCAGACCATCCTGCTGATAGTAGCGCTCGAGCACATAATGCTCGCCATACGGTTCGTCATAATCGGCGCGATTCCTGACATTCCATCTTGGGTGGCCACCGAAATGGCCAAGGTCGAGTTCTTGCGGAGGGAGGCGGTGAGGAGGTTGTCCACAACACCCTCGCCCTCCGAACAGCAACCCAGCACCGTTATAGGTATGAAGTTATTGTTTCTTGCTTGTTTCGCCGATGTAATGGTAGGTAGTTGGTTTTTTTTTTTTTGTTTTGTTTTTTGTTTTTTGTTTTTTTTTCACGTGAATAAACGCGTCAGCGCTTCAATGCAGGTGTACAATAGAAACGCAGTTTGGTTTTTTTTTTTTTGCTATTGTACTCATTGCAAATAGTTGCCAACTATTCAAACATTGTCAATCACTCGGAATGTTTTTCTCTCCCCCTTATCTGCGACGACTCAATAGTTAACAAAAGACTTGCCCAAGGATGAAAATAAATCACAAAAATGCGCGTCGCGGAGCTTCAAGATGTATACGAGGACAGCATAATATGCGTACACTTGGTTTTGCGATGCTGATTGTGTACGGACAGGGGGAAGGAGGAATTTTATCGCGTTCGTGACCAAAGGCCTCGAAACTGTCTAAACAACGGTTGACACCTGCACGGCCGCGCCGACGGTACTCCCAAGTTTATCGCTGCTTTGGAAATGTCAAACAAAAAAAATCCGGCAAGGATTTTCCTTCATACGGCACAATGTAACTACTCAAACGAGGATTATTTTTTGCTATTTATAATGTATAATATGTACCTGCACGTTTGAGCGCACGTGCCACAAACTATACGTGTACACGCAAATGGGCGGTGTACCCGTACATGGGAGATGCAACTTTTTTTTCTTTTGAAAAGTTCAAAATGTAAGCTTACGTGAAAATTGTCTGCCGAATCCAATGTGTATACGTTGGTATCCAGGCGAGAGAGTGTCTCGGACAAAAGTTCTTTCACTAGTCGTCGAGCAAAACCTCCATCTCAAGCTTGAGCTTTACCTTCCTCACTGTTTCACTCATTTTTGCCGTTTCGTGTATATTTTTTTTCCACTTTTTTTCTTTTTTTCTTTTTTTTTTTTTTCAAACACGACAAACTACCATATAGGTATACTAATCACGGTACGTATACACCATCATATACAACAATATTATTATTATCATATCATGCCACTGCACGAAGGGTGTACACAAATTCAGACGAAATTAAAACAATACCTGCACGTACATGTTTTAAAAACACTATGGGGGACGTGCCACCCATCGAAACCCTGCATTGTCACAGTGGAATCACTCGCGTCACGGAACTAAAAAAAAAGAAAAAAAAAAAAAAATGAAAATGAAAGTATTCGATTCTTGAAAACAAAGTACGCGTGCAGCGATGGATAAATCGAGGAAACGAGGTTGAATTACACCACACCGTATGTTACACCGAGCGACTGTCACCAGCGACGACACAAGCGAGCCTCGTCTTTGGCATCATCGGAATCAGAGGAAGAACAACAACAACAACAACAATAAAAAAAAAAAACAAGGCGAGGAAAAAAAAAATGGTCCTTGTGGTTTTGAGGGTAGCTGGCGGTGCACTGAAGCCTCGCTCCTAGCCCGCACGGCAGACCCACACACAGAGACCCGAGGAAGCAAAAGACAGAGAGGACTACACACACACACACACACACATACAGGAGGGGGGTTGCAAATATCTGCTATCGGGACGTGACCCGAGCCCGCGGCCGCCGATCAGGCCTTCTCTCTTTCTCTCACGCCCGTGTTCTACCCCTCACCCACGGAGCTTCCGTGCCCCTCTTTTGTGAGTTGCGCCCTTCTCTCTCTCTCTCCTCCACCCGCCCCCTCTGCGCCTTTTTTTCGGCTACACCCCACCCGCTACTCCCAGCCCGACAATTATGAATAAATAAATCAGAGTAGCCGCCACTTTTGTCTCCCTCCCTCTATATAATTTATTTCGCGACACATACTTTTTCCCCGTTTTTAACTCTAAATACCCTCGTACCTTGATGGTAAACACCCGAGTGTATTTCACGTGTATATTTTTTTGCCGTACAAGTGTACAACCAACAAAAGCCCCCCCCCCGCTTCGATTAATACCCATCGTATGCTGATGCGCACACTGCGAACTATCGCACGTTTGGTGTGTTAATCCACGCGCGCATGCAGCTATACACGCAGAAAACGCCCATCGCCCGCAAAACGGGATCCAAGGCTTTCCCGGGGTGTTTGGCAAATAAGTATACGCGCGCTCGTAAGTATACTTACCTTGTAACGCTCATCGCTACAAATCCTTCAATGTGTATATCCCCCCCCCCCTTTTTTTTTGTCACACATATTTTTTCTGTTAAACGTATATATTATACATGAAAATCGTCGGCAGTGCAGGTGAAAAGTAAACAACATAATATATATTTACGCGTTGGGTGTACCAGTGTAGTACCAGCTCCTGTATAGTTATCTTGAAAAAAAAAAAAAAAATGAAACTTGTTATCACCTTTCACGTCGGCTTCTTTTTTAAAGCCTCATCGAGACTCTTCGTTTCATACATCACCCGCGAAATGATTGCACGTGCCGGCCGCGTTTATCGCCCATATTATGCAGTATACACCGCAAGTTCAAAGCCCCGACTTGCGCCTCACGAGGGCATTTGTTTTGCTGAATGAAACGAAAGAAACGACCCCGCAGCACTGGGGTAAAGCACACAACAACCGAGAAGAGAGAAAAAGAAAGATAACTGTAACTCGGAATCAAGTGTGTGTCATATAGGGGTTGGGTCATTCAAGTCTTGGGTGTATAGGTATATATTATAATGTACAAGTATACTTTTGTTGGAGCCGTGCGCCGCGATTCATGCCATCCCTCGCGCCACCACCAGGACGGCGAAACTCGTGAAACGCGTATATCTCTTATACTTGGTGCATCAGAGTGTGTGGCACACACGACGAGCGGCAAGGGCCCAAGACGACTGCGGATGATGTACTTACATCACGACTATAGCTGCACCGAGACACGTCGCAGCCACCGCCACCGACACCACCGTATATATACATGTATTATATGCACGCGCCGCGACGCTCAATGCCCATGTATATGTGTGTGATGTACATCTTTTTCCACGGCGCTGTTACCTCGGGCTCTCCCTCCTTCACCTCCGGGGAGCCCACCTTCTCATCCCCCCCCCCTCTCCTTGCTCGAGCAGTACAGACGCGAGCTTTCTCGCAAGCTCCCCAAAGATGCCGTGTATAAGGTCTGTCGGCTCGTGGTATCTTCATACCTCGTACAAGCCCTTGACTCTCTCTGCCACGGGAGACACACCACCCACCCACTTTGGCGTTAGTTGTACGCGCGACGGCCACTACACGTGTGTATATATAAAATGTACGTGCACGTGATATAAAATGCATGTATATAAACAGCCAAGGGGGTCCGTTATGTATATGCAGGCATGAATGAGAAGGGAGTTGCATATGGCTCTGTGAGAAGACATTGTACGTATGAGATGGCGGAGACGACAATCTAAGAATGAACTCCGGGATATTCTGTTGTATACTTACTTACAAGATTGCCTTGTCCTCGTCGTCGTCGCCTCTTCACTTTTTACGGCGAGGGCCAGTGCACGTACTACCAAGTATACACACAACACTTGAGCTCTTTTACCTTGCGCGTGTACAACTCCCGCTACATACTTTACGATACTTTCATTCGCAAAACCATTGCGTTTACCTGTATATTATGTGTATACACATATTATACACACACGTATTGTATATACGTTATACGCGCTTTGAATGAAAGAGAAATTAACTCCAAAGTCACGCTTTCGCGGCGTTTGCGCGAGTCTGTTGTGCAGTAGTGCATCTATATTTGCGTGTGAGTGCGGCACACGTGCGCGTTACTCCATAATAGTCAATGCTTTTATTTTCATTTACATTACTTATAATATATCATTGCCTGTGTGTTTTTCTACAGCATCACATGTTGTGTCATTATTAATAGTTTAAAAAAAAAAAAAAAAAAAAAAANCTTTAAACTTCCGTCTTTTGGGTACAAGGGTATATCCTGTATACATGAGCCACCCGGAAGCTTTACCGTGTATAACCCATACGGTATAATACATATATATATGTATATATAAGTAGACTCGAATGGACTGTTAAACAATTTATTTGTATATTCTTTTTCAATATATCATTGCCTGTGTGTTTTTCTACAGCATCACATGTTGTGTCATTATTAATAGTTTAAAAAAAAAAAAAAAAAAAAAAAAATCCTTGTCGGCTGCAATTTATATACGTACCGTTAACTTTACTTCGCAAATCAATTATGTATACTCGCATTGAGCGAGGAGTGTACCTACACTTATACATAATATACGATCATAATTGCGTATGTACCTACAATAGATGAATAAACTGTTATTCTCGTGTGGTTTTTCAAAAAAGGTAGAGTAAAATACAAGTACAAGTATGGCCTGCAATGAGGGAACAATTTAATTTCAGTGGTTACTTTAAATAAGCAAACCGCAGCTTAGTGAGTGTGTGTGCGTGTGTGTGGGAAACATATGTATGTATACATTGTATTTATAATAAAAAATAAAAAAAAAAACATAGTAAAATTAACAACAACATTAATTGTAAATAATTAAAATAATTAAAATAGTAATAATAGTAAAAGCGCAAAATGTGCAGTGATTTTTGGCCCTGCAAGCTCGCGTAAGTATTATAAAGAGGGAGAGAGTACGACATACCTAGGCGTATACGTATTGGTGCAGTATATACACCAGTTATGGGACAGAGACAGAGCGGATGACACTCGAGATAACGCCTTCGGCCGCGTACCATTGGCTCCTCTCTATCCCTCCCTCTTTTCCCCACCGACCATTGAACACGCCCACCGCTAGAATCCCCCTCGTCGTGTATACCTGTATATATTCTCTTCTTCCTTCCTTCCTTCCTTCCTTCCTTCCTTCCTTCCCCAGCCGGCGCGGAGGGGTGTCAGTCTCCGATGGAGTAGCTTTCCTCTCCTCCCTCACCCTACTCCGCTTTCTCTATACTTACCTACTAGTATACGACTATTGTACTCCACATCACCACCCGACCGACCGGCTCTCCCATCATCACCATTGGGGCTCTACTCGCCGCCACCACCACCATTTTACACCCAATACCCTTCTTACCTTTTTTTTCTTTTTTTTTTTTTTTTTTTTTTTCTTTGTGCT